ATATATTTTTTTTTTTTTAATTTTTTTTTTCAACGTTTATTTATTTTTGGGACAGAGAGAGACAGAGCATGAACGGGCGAGGGGCAGAGAGAGAGGGAGACACAGAATCGGAAACAGGCTCCAGGCTCTGAGCCATCAGCCCAAAGCCTGACGCGGGGCTCGAACTCACGGGCTGCGAGATCGTGACCTGGCTGAAGTCGGACGCTTAACCGACTGCGCCACCCAGGCGCCCCTATATATTTTTAATAGAAACAGGAGGACCAAGAAATTTTAAAATTGCAAAAACTTAGGCAGTGTGATGTGTTTTGAAAATTCTTAACTCGTTTGAAGCCTATTTTGAGCAGCAAATGAATATGTGATTGTTTCTTTACTGTGTATGTAACAACAGTTGAGTCGGCGGTACCACTAGGTAGTAGCAGTATACAAAGGATTCTGATCGATGGCTCTGAGTAGCTTAGAACTGTCAGCAAAATAAGACTTGGAGGCAAAACTCGAGAAAAGAATACAAAATGCTATCAGCTGCCAAAATACATGAGTTCGGGCAATCTGAAGAGGGCTTTATGTGTTCGTCTGTTCTTCGCTGAACGCCGCTGTGTGCAGAAACCCATGGCTGATGTCTAGATGGGGGGGCACCTGAGCCACATCCTGGGGACCGGTAAGGAGCTTGGCCAAGGGAAGCACACACCAGGAGTAGCCTGGTGGGCCCTCCGCTCGCATAGTCTGTTGCCTCCCCGGCCTCCCCTACGGAGCCAGAGCGGAGAACCGGGCCGCTGGGGAAGCCCGCCGGTGTCCTTGCCTTCTGTCGTGTTGGGAAAAGCTCTTTGGCCACTCGGAGCAGTTTTGTCTCCGTGAGTGTCATCGTGCATGGCCTCTGGGTATGATCCGCGGCCCGTGGCGCTCACTGAAGTCCTCTGGTTGTCCCAGACGGCCTCTTGTAAGCTCTCAAACTCTGGGCCACGCGCTCTGGTTTTCAGCATGTGTGCCTGCTGTTCCCCAGCCCGCGCTCAGGCCTTTGCGCCTGGCGGTGCATCCCGCCTTAGAAATGCCATCCCACGCTTGCTGGGCGGGTTCCTCAGGGCTGGCGTGGTCATCTGTGGCCTGCCTTGACTGGGGAAGGGACGCCACACTTGCCCGGCTCAGTCTTAAACTTGGCTTTTGGGAATATTCTCATATCGCAGCACATCACTGACAGGGAAATCTAAGCCCTTGGGGCGGTCAGTGCCCTTTGAGGGGCTTTTGCCGTCGACTTGCCGTGGGGGCTGGGGTCCGCTGTCGGGAGCGCCTGACCGTGCCGGCGTGCGGGCCCGTGGGAGCGGAGCAGAGGTTGCCCAGCTCGGCTTGGACTTGACCAGCCACGAGTCTCTTCAGACACGGGAGCTGGCGCACCGAAGCGGAGGCGGCTCCTTTTCCCCCAGGATTTTAGACAGTGTAAGGGGTGACTGTTGCTGCCTCTGAAGAACTGCCTTCAGGGTGTGTCCGGTTCTAAATTGGGGAAGCAGGGCTGTCTCTGAGCTCTGTGTCTAAAAGTTGGATTCCTTTTTTTCTTTAAACCTTCCCATCGGACAGACAGGAATTTCATCCCGTGTGACAGTTTCCCCCGTGTTTCATTTCCATTAATCAATCACAGGAATGTTTACTGGAACCGTCGCTAACAGTAGTAAAATCTAATGGTGAAAAAATTTCACCTGATTTTATCTGACTTTCCTGTTCTTAGGTGTCCCGTCTGCTGCTGTTTGAAAATCTCTTAACTTGCCAGTCTTTCTGATACACCTGTGCCTTATTGGGTACAGTAGTAGGTCCTTAATAGTTGTAAGCTGTTAAGTGGCATTGTACGATTCTCTTGTAAAGCAGATTCTTTTTATAATTCAAAGGCTTCCCTCTGCACTACCCCCCAAATATTTTGGATTTTTTAAAATCAAAGCGGTACCACTTAGACATACTTTCACTTTGTAGTTCAAATAACCGATGAAATAACCAGAAAAAAAACTATATGTTTTGAGAGACTTGTGTAATATTTCAATAAAGGAGTATTTGATATTTGATTACAAACTGAATGATGACATTCGGAACTACAGAAATCTGTTAAATAATTAGGGTTTGCTTTGACAATTATGGACTATAAAAGCTTGACCCAGTTCCTTTGGATTAAAATATTTTGAGTATTTGTCACCTGATTAAAAGTAGAACCTTCTAACCATGACTCAGAGTTGAAGGAAATGTCAGAGCTTTTTATACTGGGAGGCGGGCAGCATGGTAGTAAGGAAGGCACCCGGGCCTCGCTCAGTGTGGACAGAGTCTCAGCTCCCGGCTTATCAGCTCTGCAACTTGGGCTTGTGACTTTACATTTGAGCTCGGGGGGTGGGTGTGGGTTGGGGGTCTCACCTGTAAGAGGGATTTTTCCCCCCTAGAGTTTTCCTTTTTCACTTTGATCAGTTTTGTATACTGGGCGACTATGGTTCCTGGTGTCTAGCAGGTTGCCGCAGCTGTTACTGGTGTTTAACTGTGTGGGAAACCGTTAGACATACCCTTCTCCTTGAGCCGGTGGGCATTGGGATGATACAGGTGAGCAGTCTGACCCAGAACTGGATCCATGAAATTTCTTGCCGAATAAATGGGAAAGTGCCGCCCTCCCCCCCATTTCTCCCCCCCCCCCATTTCTCTCCCCCACCA